TTTCAGGGAAAAAACAAACCAAAATGCTCAAGGTTATTATGTTTCTTCTTTAGTTTTCTTCTATTAGTTAAAAATTGATCACAGCCATTTCCTATACATTTAGCTGTATTTTTCACCATTAATAATTCAACTTACGGAATATGCAAGGAATGCATTTATTTTTATTCCTCACATATGCACAGGAAACCAGAAATAAAAATTTAAGGGGTTTATTATAAGAGTAAAATACTTCAGCTGTTTCTTCAGTTTGACACAATACACAATTCATCAATAGGATGAATCAAGATTCTCTTTTTCCAAATTATTGCACCACGACACTCAACCAACTCAAGTAGAAAGAGAAAGTTTAACCAAATTCAAATATGTGGAAATTGCATTCTATGAAGAGGGAGAGGACTATGGACTCTGCCCTTTGCAAAGCAACAGAGGGATTTTAGTGATCAAAAGTAGCCATAAGTTGAGTCTTACACTTCTGCTGAAAGATACCTTGGCCAGACAGTAAAACTGAAATACTGCACCCAAGTGTCTGTTTATGGAGTGCTCAAACAGGAGGCAGGAATCCATTTTACAGCTAAACCCAGATGATTAAGTTATGTATTTTTCCATGTAAGTAAAATTGATTCAACTACAGTAGGAACCACATAATTCTTTTGGTGTAAATATAACTTTTAGCAGCATATGATGGGATTTGGCAATATTCTTGTAGGTGAAAGCACTTGATACTGCAGATGTCTGAAAATACCATTTGTTTTTGCAATGAATAAAAAGCATAGGATTTGTCATCATGATAATAATGAGATTTTGTCTAAAAGTAACAATCCCAACTAAACCATGGTATCAGAATTCAAAAATGTGGTTTCAACAGCTGTGAAACATATCACAAAAACTACTTACAGTGACTTCTGCAGTCTGCCTCAGAAGTGCTGCAGGAAACAACTGTAACTGTTTACAAAGCTGATGATATTTCAAGAAAACCTAATTTTTTTTTTAAAAATAAAACATACCAACTGACAGAAATGAATAACAAATCATAAACATTATAATTTTGAACAGAATGCTTCTTATGAAATACAAAATGTGTGCAAACCATTAATTCTGCTTTCATTACAGCCAGCTTGGGGAAGAAATGCAGATTGCTTTAGAAAAAATATGTTCCCTGTCGTAAAGCAAACGGAATACTCACATCATTTCACACTTACAGAAAATCTTCCTGCCAAAGAGGAAGATGAAGATTATCATAAAGCTCCTTATAGGCATCATCTAACTTAGCCTAATCACATCCCTGCAAGGTGTGTTTGCTGTTATGCTGCTCTCTGCACACATAGCCCAACAAGAATAAACAGGTTTACACCTCAAGAGCTCCCAGTGATGTGGTGACTTGTTGGAAAGCCACCCTGGAGCTCCAGCTCCCTTAGCTCTGCCTGCACAGCTGGATCATCCTGCTCTTATATCGTGTAGAATCTACCCAAATGCAGGAACATAAGAAGTCTGAAGCGGCCCAGATGTTCTGAAAATTCCATCAAGGCTTTCATTAATAAGAGCTAATGATACAGATAGTCTCTAAGGAGTGAATTAATGTAGGCCTGCCTTTCTTTCTCCTTCTATGACCAATGGACTGTGAAAGTAGGACATGAGCTTTATTTTTGCTTTTTCCTTTTTGATCTATTCTGTTCCCTTATCACTTTACATCCACTTATTTTTCTTCCTTTTTTAAAATATACAGATATTCTGGTTGCTATTTCTGAAGGTGTTAATAGATATCAAGCAGTAGGCATTTAAGCCTTTTCAGTTTCTCTAGCAATCTTCAACTTTCAAATGTCCCAAGAAGCCACCTCACAAATCTCTATTTTAAGCCTGAATACACGACACTTTCTAAACTTCCACATGCACACAGTGAATAGAAAACAATTGCCTGAGCCTTTTGTAAAACAAGGTGATATACCTTAAAGGACATACTCTGTTCTTTTATGTTTAAACCAAAGAAATTAGAGCATTTTCTGAAGTTTCCCTTTCACTTAAGTATACCCAAAGGAAATGGTAACACACAAAATACACAAAAGCCTCTGCCAGCCTTTACCAAAACCACATGGTTTTAGACTTGAGTAAGATAGAAGGCAAAGTGACTTGTGGAATAAAGAAGCTACACTGAGCAATGAAATACATATATTTAGGTGCAATCATAACTAAATCACAGCTAGCAGAAGGAAAAATGGTCTGCAGAAAGACCAGATCTCAGGACAACATGAGAGTCAAGATGCCTCTGCAAAATAGCTCTGAAAATTCCTGTAGATTTGAATAACTGACTTGGACATCCTCCCAGGAATCTTTCTGGTGGAAATGATCCCCAAGAAACTCTGTAAAGGATGCTGAGCATTAAAAGTCTAATCTAAAGCTTTTGAATTTGATTCCCTCTAAGGTTCAACACTCAACATTACAGTCTCTTGCCCTATCCTCTCACTGATCCTAAGTGCAAAGATTTCTTGTAGGGTCTGGACAGGAATGAATAACTACAGATGCTTTCCATACACAAATAAAACCATGCAGAAAGGACTCTCTGTTTTCTACCCAAAATACATGCCTCCACAGCTAAACCTGACCAAAGGCTAAAATGGAAGCAGCTGACAATAAATCAGAACTGGTCTCCCACCCAAGTAATGTAAATAAGACAAGTATGACTTTCTGAGCCTTTAAAAGTACTTCTAAGCTGTAACATATTTTTGCTGCAATAATAAAAAGTCAAGCTGCCCAAATAATTGAACTCCAGTAGTTCCATGGTAATTTTGCTCTAAGAGGGATCATCTCTTCCAAGTACTTCTCCACACCTCTGTAGCATATTGCTGACTTTTACTCTCTCTATATATTAGACTGAAAGGATAATTTCCAGAACTTTATTTTAGCTCAGAGCAGTATTCCACAGCCATTAGCTTTTTACCCATTTAGAATTATCCTCCTTTTCAATTTTTGGGAACTCAATAGTGTTCTGAATTTAACACCCAAAGAGTTAAGCCTGCCTATATTAACCACCTAGCAGCACAGCCTCAAAGTAGCACACTAGGGATCAAAAGTAATCAGCACTATACCAGGTCAGCCATTTTAGTAATTTTCCTATTTAGTCATTTTACCTTTTTCTTTGCCCTGTGGTTGCTTTTGAATGATATCTTAGTTATTTCCACCTCACACCTTTGGATTATGTGTCAATTTGGTCAGTGTGCTGCACACACCAAAGGGAGAGCATTTGTATCTGTGGTAGCATATTTGAAATGCACATTAGGAAACACCTAATAGTGTATACTCACACATCCCAGTTTGCCTGTAAGGCTCAAACGTGTGCTCTGTGGTGTTCATGCCAATTTTACTGGAAGGCAAATATTGAAGCATCAAGCAATTACGTGACTTAAGCAAAGCCACTTGGGAGTTCTCTAACAAAATGGGACCAAATTTAAACACCCCATGGCATCCGTGTGCTAGGGAATGTCCCATGGCATCCATGTGCTAGGGATAACACAGCACTGACAGGACACTCAGGCTTTTCTGGACTGGCAGCTGCAAAGAGCAGGATAGTCCACAGCATCTCACACAGCACCAGATACTTTTGTTTTGCAGACTTGTGCATAAAGTGAGGAAAATACTTCTGTTTAAGAGCCAGGATTAATTCCTACACCTCCTAAACCAACCTTGTTTTATTAAATAGGCAACACTTTTTACAAAATTAAGACAATAAGATAATCTTTTATAATTCACACAGTGATTGAAACTTAAGACTTCCTTGTTTTCAGTCTTCTAGAAATGAAAGTGGACTGAGAAATAGCCTTTTCTGGTCACCACAATGTAAGAGCCAAACTGAAGTGTTCAGAGGCGTATTTTTGGCAACAGAAAATTTTCAATTTTATCTCCTGGAACTTTATGCATTTCAAATACTTGTCTCCCTTCTGTTGAATTTCTAATAGATATTGCACAACTTTGGCTCCATGTCCAGAATCCTTGTGCCAAATTAGACTCTGAAGGAATCTCATGTTTAGCTGATAAAGATGATTATGCAAAAAAAATGCTTGTTTTTCCACTTACACTTCTGTAATTCAGACAAATCAAAGCAAATCACAGAAACCAATGGCCAAATGAAAATAAGAAATCATATTTTAATTATTTTAAATTATATTTTTATTATAATATAATATATTATAATAAAAATATAATATATTTTAATTATTTGTGAAATTCTCCTTGTTCAGCTCTGTTTAATGTAGGACCCATTGATCATACCATGGTATTGTCTTTATTTCAACCATCTGCACAGTTTAGAAACTACTTACAGCATGGGTTCCAATCAGAACCTAACTGTTCAACTGAGAGTTTCATATATTTTTGGAGCATCCCCTCTGCCTGAGTGTGTTAAAGGTAGCCTTCACAGAACACAACAATTTATTTCAATGCCATGGAACCACTTTAACTGACTTCTAATCCTTGGCAGTCCTTGTTCCACCAGCTACCACCAATAGGTCAATCTTTACTTTTCATGACAGAGCATCTTTCATTTTGGAATTTCCTTCTCCAGAATTTTTTATTTATTTCAAATTCTTGCAGCAGCTCCACTTAAAACATCCTAGTGTGTTTAGGTAATTTATAAACTCAGCTGTCTTCCTTAGTAAGACAAGTGCCAATTGTGTTGTATCTTTCATATTTCTATTACAGCAATTCTATCTTAATTAACAATAAAATACATAAGCTAAATTGTGCAGTCTTCACTACTATATTCACAGGATGCTTATGGCATTGCATCGTTACTGCACACAAGAAATATCTTGCAGGATTTCTGCCTACCAATATAAAACCAGTTTTCAAGATTTAAGTGTGTAATAAATTAGAAAATATTTCTCATAAGAGTAAATGTCTTCTGCAGCATAGCACTAATTCATTCTTGAAGAATAACATTTTCTCCTGTGAGGCAGGATGTATATTATTCAGAGGAAAACAAAAGAGAAAAGGAAGCAGCATATCTTTACCCTCCGCACGTCTTTGCCGAATGTTTCGCTGTAGCTGGTGCCCAGTATTTCAAATTGGACATAGGGGTTGGCTCCATCTTCTCTGAACTCCATAACACCAGTCAGCCCAGTTATATGGCCCTAAGCAAGTAAGTTTGAGAAATTTCAGAACAGAAGACATCTGCCTTCATAAACACACCTCTGCATAAAATGTGTGCCAAATATGCTTAAATCATGTTTACAGTGTACTTAAATGTGGCCCTTGCATGTTCTTCAGTAGCTCAAACCCAGCACTAGACAAAAGACTTCAGTTTTTCAATTTTTTCAGAAAAATACTTTACCACTGAGACACCCAGTGTTTATGGCCATCAGGTCATTACTCTCCACAGAAACAGACCCCAAAGAAAAAGAGAAGGGCCTTAGTGGACTGTGAGACATCAGCCCTCCCAGTGTAACTGAGGGCAGCAGGCTCAGTTCTTGGCTGGAGTGCCAAGGCATCAACTCCCAGCCCAAAACAAAGACAATACCTGCTGTGCTCCCAAGAGAGGCATGAAGGAAAGACAAAATTGCAACTCTGAAACTATCACAGAGTTTGATTCTGGCTTTGTAGCAAAGCTTGAAGTGACATCAAAGTTCAAATTAAATTAGCAACAAAGGATAGCATCATTAGGACTTGTCAGAATGATCAAATTGCATCATTTAACTGAAGAAAAATTATTTAATCAATATATGTTTGGGAACAGGGAGTTTCTTCTGAACAACTGCAAAAGTTAGAATAGTAACAAATTATGTTTTTTTTCTACTATTACTTGTGATCGAGTAACTTTTATACAAGAAGTTGCCAAGTGTCTGCAAAGCCACAAGTCTGTCCATATTTGAGTATTTCAGCATGGTGCAAGACAGTGCAACTATTAGTGACAGCTTAGCCAAATCAGATCCTTCTTGCTCTGCTCTGGATACAGTACACAAGAAGATCCTTACTAATGCTCAGCTAACTTACAAAGCTATCTGAGCTGTCAAAAATGGAACATCATTCTTAAACCTCCTCATTGGTTTTCCCTCTTGCCCACTTCAAGTCCCTTTAAGTTACCCTTTTGCAAAAATGCATGAATCAGTGCCCATGACTATCCTGATCCTACTTCCTGCAGAGAAGGCAGCTAGAGAACAGAAGCAGAACACACACCTCTGGTTCCACACAGCACTGTGTGTAACTTGTTTATCATAAATCATTTGCTTTTTTAAGAGCTGCAGATTGTCCTTGGTTGTTGTAGATCACTTGCTTGTAATACATCAAAGAAAAGTTGAATACAAGTTAGAACCTTCAAATGCTCAAATAGACATGAAGCAACTCATTCAATTGCTCACAAAATGGTGGTTTGTCTTTTCTCACCTTCTTAATAGTCTCTAGCATGGATCTTCCTCCATTCCAAGGTTTGGTGGATTTCCTCATGCAGTTCAGACTTGCCATGCTGTGCCATTTCCTGTCCTCCAGTTTTCTGTGGAAAGCATTGGCCAGCATGAGCACACTGTCATACAGGTACAGGTTGGAAACCTGCAAACAATAATAAGAATGAGCCTCTTTTTTTTATGTGAGCACCTTCCAAAGAAATGATAAAAACCAGCAGAGAAAACAAAAGGAGGCATAAGTAAGAACTAAAAGCTGGGTATGTTTGACATGTTTAACAGCCAGATCATTTGAGACAAATGTCTGTGCTCCTGAGTCCCTCTGTCCAAGGGATTCTGGCACATGGGCACTGCCTGAGCATTACTGCAATGCAGTGCTGTAAAGAGAGATCACACTCCACATATAAACTCAAACTACAGAGGGAGTACAGCTATCTATCAATGAGAGACAAGTACTGCTACTTTTTCAGCCCTTTCAGCAAGGAGGGAGAGACAGGATGGAATTAAGTTCTTGGGGGTTTTATTCATTTGAGTAACTAGTAATTTCTGGAACAGCAAAATCCAATACACACACAACTCTTTAGAATAGAAGGAAGAGAAATGACAGTATTATTTTGGTCTTAGCATCTCTTTCCACCAAATATGCAAGAGATTGGTTATGTGCTACTTTCTCTGGAGCTACTGAATTTAGCCTTCTTAGTCTTCAATTCACATGAGAGAAACAGAAATAAACAATTGATGACAAAGACTCCAGAAAGAACAAAACACCACACTGGTAACGCTGAGCTACGTATTTAATTTTTCAAACCAAGACATGTCTAGCAATACATGATTAGATCTTCTGACAGACAGTGGTATCCAGCTCAGATGGTAAAACTTTAGTAGAGGAAGTTGGCTGAGACAACATTAATGCTAATAATAATAGTATTTCTTCTACCTATAGGCTTTAATCATGATCATCCCTTACTTTGCCATTTATCTCCTGGATTTTCTAGTCCACCTTAGAAAGTAATGTCTAGAGACCAGTAAAGAGCTGCAGGTGGAAGTTAATTCAGCTGCATAGTTCCTATAAATATGACACTTTAGGTGTCCCAATAAAAGTGACACTATGAAAGCTTAAACATTTATTACTGTTGAATCACTGGGTGCAAGTAAACTTCTGATGTTTGTAAGATGCTTATCTTCAGAAACAAAATGTTTCGTGTTCCATAATCTGGAGTTTGATGGAAATTGAGAACTTGGCACTTTGAAATATCTTCCAGTATAAGTAAATCTGAACAGGAGATATGTAAGCAAAGATTAATTTTGAAAGAATCAAAATACAAAGAAAAAAAAGGTATTGCAATACACACTTATTTAAGCGACTGAGCATAAAAAGGGATCTTAATATGAAAACAATGCAAAGCCTGTGAGATACTATCAGGGAGAATCTCTCTTGTCTGGCATTGCCATTTTTTTCCCTTCTTTTCTTTCCAGCCTTGCTGAACAAGCACTCCACATTGCCTTTATTTGCTATTTTATCCACATAAATCTTTTCTTTTTAGAATATTTCCTGAAGTAGTTATATGTCATACTTCCTCTGGTTTTAAGAAAAGTAATTAAGGAGTTGATGGGAGTCCCAGTAACCAAGTTTCTTCTGTTCAATTGCATCTGTTTCCCTATTCTGTAGGTATTTCCAAAGAACTTTCAAATAAAGCAACCAAGCAAATCCCTATTATTCAGGAGGGCATTTTTCTTCTGGGTTAAGCAACTCTTCACAGAAAAAAAAATCCAAACAAACCTCAAATCCCACAAGATACACCACCCCAAACCACAAAATCCAATTTCTTAGAAATAAGTTTTAAATACATAAGGAAAAATGCCATTTATTATAAGCCTTCACAATCCTCTTTGCTCCCAACTGAATTTGGTTGTGCAGACTCACTTTTAACTGACAACAAATTGTCTGCTGCCTTGGAACACCCACAGATCAGAAATGCCTTGCATGTTCTCCATTTGGCACTGTTCTTTTGCAGTTCTGGAAAACTGCAGCCTCATTCCCAAAAACAGTGCTAGGTTTGCTAGCAGAGAGCTCTAAGGCAAAATACAGGATGCACTTGGGTACATTGCTTCCTGCTTTTCATGTGCTTGGAGAAGACACCACAGGTCTGCACATGTGACTGACAAAGCTTGGGAGAGTTGTACTGAGGATCTCAGCCTGCACAACCTGGCACCCAACTCAAATTACCTCCTGCTGCAGAGCAAAACAAAACAATCCTGTGCTTACCAACCCAATCCTCATTGTTCAGCTACACCTTTAATGGACTTGAACCCATGAATTTGTTTGGAAAGAATGCTATGAACTGAGAGATAGCAAGATGGGGTCTGCACAAGAGGAGTCTCCACTGCATTTTATCCTTATTCTACATCAGGAGACCTGTACCAAGGCAGAAAATACTGCAGAGAATACACCAGAGTACTCTTTTTGCCATGGAAAGAATTCTGCATGTTCTGTAGTATTATCCACTGGTATTTTGCCACTCTGGTTCTCTTCTGCTGAAAGCCTCATCCCAAATATGAGTAAATGATGCTTTTTAATCAGCAAAATTCCTTCCATCATATAATCATACTCTATTTACTCCAGTGAAAATGACATGCATGCATAACTACATTTTACTCATTACTCACTGAAGAGGCAATATCTATGGAAGAGTAAGTTACATCTTACTCACACAATCAACACTTCTATTTTAGAACAGAAAATATGCAAGCTAGGAAAAAAACAGCATCAAAATTTCCACAATTAAGGCTGGATCTCTAATAGTAAAAAAAAAAAACCAAAACCACAAGCATTCTGGCCTGATCTCACAGTAAATTCAGGGCTCTAATAATTTTCTTTATTACATTCAAATACAGTCAAATATCTGCATATATCATAAATATATATCATAAATCATATTTGCAATATGAGTTTCCTGTAACCTCCAGAATATGCTGTGAAAAGAAAAAGGATTCAGCAGACATGGCCTGTATGCCCTTGTTACTGCACCTGCAGACATACTTTAATTTTCAGTGAACTTTCAAGTTCCCTGTGAGTATGGATTTGACCACTGAAAGGGAATTTTTGAGATACCCAAGGGTTCAGCTGTACTCTGATTCCACCAGTACTGTCAGAGGCATGAAAAAATAGTTAATTTTAAAAATTAATCTTTGGGTAGCATTCAGAATTGGTAGCAAAGCAAGAGAGAAGTGAAACAAGGCAACATACTTGGCTACTTTGGGTTTTCAAAGCTCAGGAGCATTTTTTAATTCCCCTATTAGGATATTCATAGGGGAACAGAGGAAGAAAGGACATATCTTTCTGAAGCGATTTCCCTTAATAGAATAAAAATTCCTAGACTAGAACAAAGTACTTGATTTTGGTCATGTTTGGAGGAAATGACTGTAATTTTTAGTTCTTCTTTCTCTCCATTGCTGACACTGTAAGAGCTGGAGGTACTGAAACGGTTTTTGATCTATCTGCTATAAGAATGATGGTGACTGCTTCACCAATATGTTAAAGAATATATCCTGTACCATGAATAATTTTAGGCATGTTCTGGTTTATCTTCTGGAAATGATTCCATACTTTATGAAACTCTTTTTTGCACTGAAGAAATAAATCCACCATACACTAGTAGAGCAAGCAGAAATTTTCAAGAATGGAAATCTATCACAGTATTAAATGTCATTTCATAGAAGTTTCTATGTGAATTTCATGAGAGTTTCCAGAATGATTTTACTTTCAAAGTTATGTATGAAGAAAGCTCTTCGCTCCTTCAGAGGGACTAATCACAGACAAGTGCTCTTCTGAGAGGGCCAGCAAGCCACAAAGGCTGACCCCAACTCCTGAGTGGCCAGCAGAGCCAGGAATCCAGCCAGAGATGAGCTGGAAGGCAAGCTGACACTGAGATGCCACTACTTCAAAAACTCATTCCCAAGCTGGGCATCTGTACCCTGCTGCTGCCAAAACTGCTCTGTGAGTGGCCACAGCAGTCAGCTCCAAGGATGAAGCAGATGGAAGAGGAGTTCAGAGCAAGTGCAGCCTGCCAGAAAAGCCTGCTGCCTGAGGAGGGAGATCATGGTGACTGCTATGCACACCCCAGCATGCCCTAAACCTGTGTGTCAACTTCCACAGCTCAAGTACTGCCCAGTGCAGTTGCACATTTGTGTCTCCAATGACAGAGTGCATCTTAGTGGGAGCAGCAAAGATTGATGCTTTATTCATGGTATAATGGTGTGCAAACAAGTATATTGTTAGAGCAGAGGGACTGAAAATTTGACTGCAGACAGCGGGCACCAGGGGACGGGGCCCAGCCATCCCTGGGACTGTGGCCTGCACTGCGGCCTCTCCCTCAGCAGCCCCAGCTGGTGGAGGCACACAAAGTGCCACACCACAGCCCTGTCCTCGCCACCACTGTCCCCAGAGCTGCCTTAGGAGCTGTTTGTCCTGGTCCTGCCCACAGCCATCATCTCTCGTGGGCCGAGCCCGCTGTGAGACAGCACACCAGTGCGTAGGTTATAAATACACACTTGCTGCTCAGGGAGAGCGGGATCACAGCCAGCACTCTGGCATTCATGGAAACACAGTCAAAAAACAAACGTTCATTAAAGACTCAAATGTCAGCTTCCAACTTCCAAAGGGCTATTTATTTATTATCCCTAAGGCAAATGAAATAAAAAGACTAAAATTCTCCTACAACTACCAAAAAAATCACGCCTCAACTGTATATTTATTCAAGCTTTCTGTCAGTAAGGCATCTAACTACTGTGTTACTTAGTGTTTTGTCCATTCTACTTTTAAGTATCTCAATGAGCTTTCCAAAGAGTTCTTTGAAAGACTGCACTCTCAGAATCTCTTTTTAATTTTTTAATTGATAAGCAGCTCTTCTTTCCTTTTAAATTTTCTCCTGTTTTTACACAGTTACACATATCCCAATACTCTTTCCTTCTTACTGGTTCTAGTCTCTAAATGCTCACTGTCCTTCAGCTATTTATTGTGGGCATTTATCATTATGAGTGTTTTCTTTGCCAGTATGTTTTGTAACAATGTGTCAGCAATAATACAAGGCCTGGATTACCCTGTAATGTTCAAGTTTGCTAGCTGGAGGCATTGGCTTCACTCACTAAACATCTCAGGAATTTGGCACAGCTAACACTAACTATGCAAGGAAAGTCTAGTCTTTATCAACTATGCCTTGATAAAGAGAACTGAACATAACCAAGAGTCAAAAAAAAGGACAAGAGGTAAATGCTGGAACTGCAAAACAGCATAAAAGATTATAATTTTATCCTATCTCATTTATAAATAAATATAGATACAAATTAGGTTTCAGAGGTGATAACAAACGAAAAATGGAAGTACTGATGCTTTCTTTGAGCCACTATTGTCTGCTTCCTGATTGAGCAGTGAACAAAAATCCAATGAAATAATTATGTAAATTGAGAAATCCAGCAGTCAAAAGAGGCAGAGAGGAAAAGATCATTGCAGAGCCTACCCGGGGTTTTAACCTCCAGTGTGATCACAAAATCCCCCATGGCCACGGGACACCCGCAGTGCTTTGGGGTTTTTAATGAATTCCTCTGCTAACACACCTTGTAGAAAACACACATCATTGGGCTTCAGGGAGAGATTTGTGCTGGGCAATGGGCAGTAAAGTCAGTTCAAGGATACTTTACATTCACATTGTACTCAGAAACAATTTCACTGTGACTGAACATCTGGCCAAAAATCCAAATTAAACTTTGCTAAAGAGACTAGCAAATATAGGTTTGCATTGAAAGAAAAGGAAAAAATGTGGCTCATCAATCCTTTATGGGAGAAAGTGAATGCTTTAATAGGGTTTAATCAATATTTACTGCCCCTCAGTAGCACTCTACAGTTGTGTAATAATAGCAGTGTTAACAAGCCAAATGAGAAAAAACCATTTAGTTGGACAAAACTTAAGTTTAGGCATTCAAACACATCCTAAAAAACAACTTCACTTACAGTAGTTATATTGCAATGTTGCAATAACTCCTGAACAGAAAATAGATCAGAAATAAAAACCCAGCTTTGTAGGAGCAACTGCTAAGAGATGCCTACATAGATATCTGATGGACACACCACTGAAGAATGAAATCTTTATTCAAGGAGAAGATCAGCTCTTTCAGTGAATATCCTCCCGCACTTCTCAATGTCTCCTCAAATATGTCCAAGCAATGCCAGGAATAGTTCCTCAGCTGAGAGGCTGGACTCTCAGTCAGGAATAACCTCATTAATTTTGTGACACAGTATACTGGAGTTTTCTTTTTGCCTTTTCAATCCTACTATGGATTTTGGGTCATGCTAAATTATTTCAGATACACTGTGTCCCTGTAATATATTTTAAAAGCTTTAGAATCTTACGTGGATTGAACTCATCAACTACATAAATAGTAAGCAAGGGCAAAAAAAACCTAATGTGAATTACATTTCTAAAGAGAAATCTTTCTTAAAAAAAAAAATCTGATTTTGAATTTATGAATGCATTATGACTAACCTGATGAAAGAAAAAAATACCTTCACCAAAGTTGAGTTTGTAGAGTGCCATCAAAACTAATACTTCAAGAGAAATATTTTGGAAAGAAGCAAATTAGACAGCAAAAGATTTTCAAATTGAGTCTGTAAGAACATTCCTGAAATAATCTATAAAGTTTAATAGCAACTAGACCACTATGTACCATTCAAATGCCATGTGAGGATACATATTAGGCCTGGCTAGAACTGTAAATCCTGAAGTGTTTCAGTGCTTTCTCTCCAGATTAGGCAATACTGACAACACTGTTGGCTCAAACCACAGGACACCAATGGCCAAGGGAAGAAAGCAAGTCCTAAACTGTGTCTTTTCTGTTTAGCAAAAGAGATGGACACAAAAAATCCTACCTAAGAATAAGACAGTGAGAAATGCAGTCCTCTGAAGTCAAATAAAAAGATCAAGACAGGAAACTTCATAAAGCTTTTTTCCACTTGAAGCAGAAACCCAGATGAGTATATTATATGTACAAGAAATAAGGGCATGAGCAAAATTTTGACAAGTGGGTTGATGGAATAAGATTGGATTTCCACAAAGCATTCAGAACAGATGAGTTTTTGGATGAGCTTGCAGAACAGCCTGATCTTTAAAAGGCTTGTCAGAATGCCAAACAGGGATGATCACCCACTGAAAAACAACCTTCCAGGATATGGTACTAAAGACACAGAGAACAAAATCGTTCCAAAAAGATTTTCATTAATTTAGCCAGAACAAAGTTAATAATCCATGACGTAAATGTTTCTTTCTTCACTAGCTTGTTAAAAGTGCTAAATTCTCCCCTAGAAAACACTACAGCTAGAGGTTGACAGAGATTAGCTTATTCTTCTTCAAAGTCATTAAATAAATAATTAACCAACAATAGCTGGTAAGTTACCTTGACAACAAACAATTATTAATATGAGACTGCCCAAGGGAGAATGAGGCAGGGATTTCCAAACTGTGGTGTTAATCAAAGTACTTCAAAGCAACACAAAAACTCAGTGCTGGCAGGCGGTCACTGCCTCTGGTGGATTCATGCAGCCTGACATGGAGCTTGGAGCTCCTGCAGCCTCTGGCAACAGGGGTAATTCAGTGATGTACTTCTCTACAGCAAAAGGTCACCATTATTTTTTTAAGCAGGAAAAGGGAAACAGAAAATTGCAACTACCTGAATTACAGGATCATTAATAACATGTCAGTCACACTCAAATTAATATGAGCTATATGCCCACAAGATGTTACGTAAGATATTTTGGCAAAACCTATGAAAAATAAATGTAGCTATGGAACACTTCAGGTATAACTGCACATGATAAAAGCATCCTGTATTCAATCTATATACACTTAAAAATATACTGGGGACAGCTAATTTGGAGAGCTCTCACATGTGCCCCCTGTCTTTCATGCCAACACAATTGAACATGAAAGTTACAGAATCAGCTGCCAAAAACATTTTACCTCTGCACTTCTTTATCTCTCTTGGTTTTGAGGTCATAGAGAAGGAACCAGTGGGCAAAGCATAATATTACCATTCCATTCTCTCAAAGACAGTTTCTAAGGTGGTATAAAATTTCTGAAAGATAGATGCTGAGAGGGTTTTATTTCCAAAAATCCACATCTGGAAATCAGCAGGATGAGGGTCCTTATCTAAAGATCCTTATCAATTAAATTCAGTAATAGGACATGAGGATGGTGGTGTTAGCAAACTACCTCGCAGTTACCAGTTTGCAAATTTGCAAATTGGAACTTGCTCAGTGGCCTTCAGATGAGTCTCTGAATTAGATTATGCATATACCAGCATAGGCAGCAATACTCAAAATCCCGCTGTAATGGAAGATTATTCCCCAATGAGTGATTTGTTGGTGCAGCATAGATAATTTTTCATTATGCTGGAAATTGCTTTGATCCTCTGAAATGAGCGGCCGTTGTTCTCATTACAGCATACCTCAGAGTTACTAACAAAGATCAAAAGTGTCTTTTCTTTCTGAGCCAAGGCAGACATAGCCTTTCCCCTGTGCTGAAAGAATACAGCCACCATCAGAACTACAGAGGGTGTGTTTGGCTTTTCCCAAACTTTGCCATGGCTAGGACAGAACCTGAGCCAGCAGAGCTTCTCTTCAAGGAAGAACTGTTCATATCTGCCCCTTAAAGGATTTCAGTCTCTGCAGCTACAACTTTTTAGTAGGGTGCAAATTTCCCTTGGGAAATCTTAACCCACTTTCCTTCCTGACATTCTGTCTCTCCTGGTCTGAAACTCTTCCAAGCCAGGACAGGATTCCATCTTGCAGGAGCCCTGACCCCACACACCCTCCTGAGCAGGCTGCAGCAGCCCAGGTTGGTGACAGCCTCTCCCCAAGACTAACCAAGCCCCTTCTCCATCACCCCACCACACACATCTACACTGGACAGCCCACAGGCTCAACCACTCTGTCCTCATTCAACCCATCTCAGGTTAAGACTAAGTTAGCAATTAAATGTTTTTAAGTGAGTTTATAATATATGTCCCACTAAAGTTTATACCTATATTCAACACCTTCAATAGTGATATAAATAAGATTTTTAACTGTGTCTGAAGTAAACCAAAATACATAAGTCCCATTGAAAGTCCAAGGCCTTTGTTTCTAAATTATTGCACTATCATTGGAAATAGCACCTATTAAATAATATTTAAATGACTGCAAAAAAAATTCTGATATCTGGGACAATTTGCCAGGAAATGTCAAGATGTTGCTAACACCAGAGTCAGATGTGTTACCAAAACCTGAAACTTGAACTAGCAGTGCATATTTTACACGCTCAGACAATTAGCAGCTGCTGGGGACTTCTGAGACTATTGAAAGGGACAGACTGAATACATCAGCTTGATTCAGACCATTACCTAAATATGAAATGCTCTGCAGCCCAATACCTGTCAGAGTTCTATTATCCTCCCAGGTTAACTCTTTCACAACAGATGTTGAATAAGCATAAATACAATTAAGCAAGCTGTAATATCACAGGACTATGATTGCACAACATTTTTCAAACATAAAAAGATTCTTAAGAGACTCAAATATGCAAAATCAGCTCTGACTTAGTGCAATCACTTGCTGATACTTCATGGATGTAATATCACATCTAAAGCACTCAGTACTGGGAAATAAAATAATTTAGTAAAGTCAACAAACATTGACCAGATCAGATTTATCTGTACTCATTTCCTTCCTCCTCTGAGTTCATACAGCCACAGAAAACTGTCCCATGGCAAATTCTTAAGATGGATTTTTTTTCTGCTGTGCACAGCTACTGACCTGCAGCATCTGAAGGTAGCCTTCCTGTGGATCACAGAGCAGTGAGGATATTCGGTGGTTGTTCCTCATGCACCTCTGGTTGTTGTCCCTTGCCAGAGGGAAAATCTGCCGAATCACTGTCATCCTCCCCAGAGCACTATGCACCAACTCTAATATTTCATTATCAGTGATTTCCTGTGAAGGGAGACACAGCCATTTAAAAACATATGTTTGTCCAGACATTTTATGTACTTTCATTTTTGGTTAAATGGTTTTTTTTAAATACAGTAGGGGAATTATTTTACAGATGCACATGCTTAGTCTACACCAAATGTAATTTTGCACTTAATAACAACAATGCTATTTTTTCATACATCATCTGAAACAAAAGAAAAGAGCCTAACACAGTTCTATCCATCTTGGCAATACTACAATTTTGCAGATGTAGTTCCTCAAAGGAAAGCACCAAAATGGTCTCAATAGAGTTCTTAAAAAAAAACAAAAAACCTTGAAATGAAATTTATATAGAAAGACCTTTTGTTTGACAGACTAGAACCTCACTATATCCTCAGGACAAAATAACAATCGAAAAACATAACAGTCTTCAGGAAATATGGCTCTTTCACCTGTGAACAACATTACAAGAAAGCACTTTTCCCATAAGTACAGTAGATCATTTCTGCAGACTAATCCTGATAATGACTCAAGGAAGTCTTTTGAGGTTGTCTGTATTAGGAAATAAAAAATAGAAGAAACTTTATGGAGAGGTCTGACACATTTAGGAACATCAGTTTGCACACAGAGAATAATTTGGGAGAAGATATAAGGAGACCTCAAGGACAGGCTGCTTTTCTCTCCAGGCTTCACAATTTCTAAAGCTTTGCTGCAGACCTTCACACACCCCAACCTCCTAATCCATCCTGGGACAGAGCCTGCATCTACTGCTCTTATAGGAAGGCTGAACACATTTTATGTTTAAAGAAAGACACAAAACCAAAACCTCATTTTTTACCCCAGTTTGAAAATCACAGGCTTAGCTGATCCAGGAATCATAACAAAGGTGCAGCTTGTGATGTTTTTGTCCTAGCAGGAGCTCACTGTGAGGAAAGGCAGGCACTGCTGCCTGCCCTCATGCCCCAGGCACCTGCTGTACATCCATCCCAGCTCCTCACCAGGGCCACCAGCAGCATGTGCAAGCCACATCAGCCCATCCCCAGCACAGCTGGAATGCCCTGGCTGCACAGCTGGGCCAGCCCAGTGCCCAGTCTGCACAGGGCTCTCTCAGCCGCCTGCAGCTCAGGGGGCTGCAAATCACACTCATGTTGCTGCAGGTACTTGGTCAACAGGGCTCACATCTTGTGATGCATCCTCAGCAGAAGTGAGCCTGGCTCTGGACATTTAACATTCAAGAAAAAATTATTTTGTTTTCTTGCCATTTTCTCTGTCAAGCTGCGAGGGAAATGACCATGGGGTTATAATAATTACTTGTTATGGTTGACTAGTACTGTACCTTGGCTCAATTCAGTTCTTCTTTGCCAATTTCCCTTTTTTTGTTAGGAACATGAATTTTTAACTTTGAAGAAGGTGAAATTCATTGCATTAACGACAGACCAACTGGTGTGGCATGAAAACAGTAAATCAGAAAACAAATACATCCTTATAGAAGACAAAGATTTTGAGAAATAGAAATAGAAAATGCTGGGTAGCATTTTCTAGCCTTGCAAGGAGACAATGTAGCAGACCCCCAGGCTCTACAGACCCCTCAAGATTTCCCATCTGTGGATGTGAGGGGTGTTAAAAGACGCCTCTAAGTTGAAGTCTGAGGGAGAGACAATTTAATGGCATAGCTTTAACTCATAACCTCCTAGGCTGCATCCCTTGGTAGGCACACTCAAACAAACTGGCTGCAAACAGAGAAAAAAAGAACCACACATCATCCAAACCTTCAGTTCAGCTCTCACCATACACATTTTGTGTCCCCTCTAAGTGATACACACCCTGTCAAAGATGTCTCAGAAACTCAAATATTGGTTGCTTGTGGAATTAGTTTATCTGTCTGTTTATCTGCACACACAGAACTTCAGTTAGTTTGCAAAACCACGTCATAGTGCTCAGGGGAATACTTAAATCTGCTTTAGTTGTGCTCAACTATCATAACACAAATCATAAAATGAGACAATTATGTTTCACATTACAATCTCTATTTTCCTAGAGGTAATGACAGAAAATTATAAATTTTAATGACATTAATAATTTAAAGAACTGAAACATATTTCCAGAAAATATATCCCTGAGAAAACTGGAGGATTAAACAGAACAGCAGTTAGAACAAGGATGCTCATGGAGACAAGCTAGAGATTTATTTGGATTTTTTCAGTAGTATCAATATTGTTTGATGGGTTATTCTAACTCCCCTCAATGCCCTAATTACATCTATAAATGAACACTTGTTGAAAATTCAGAAAACATCATTCCATTAGCTATTATTCTAGAAGATTCACCACAGCTTACCCTGCAGGTAGATTTGTTCAACATTTACATATTGCTGGCTTCTCTGCATCCCACATGAACAGACAGACACACACACATGCATACATAAATAAAAAGATTGATCCTTTAAAGAAAGAACACTGTCTGCTTTTCTTAGCACAAAAAATGTTCTAATACAATGAACAGATGCTCTAATACAATGAATGAATTCTAATGATCTGTGCACGATCACCTGTCCAGCTCCCATCCTCACTGCCCTCCCACACACCCACTACTACACCTCACTTCTTTTACCCAGTGCTCCTAAAAGTCTCTACAGGGATGTAGTCCTAATTTAATTTAATTAGCTCCATTTCTAGAGATAAGGACTCTGCACTGGGTGTCCAGATGTCTTTCTCAGATCATAGTGAGAGCCTATACAGTAAAAGATGTGCTGATTTAACAAAATGTTATTCCATACTAAAAATTCTCTTGGGGGCCAGGGTGGAAAGCACACGAAATGATAGTAAAAGCTGGACAACACAAACAAAAAACCCACCATTGATATTACTGTGGAAAAAATTATTCACTGATAAAACAACTCATCAAAGCTCATCTATGACCTTGCTCCTAAATGACTGATTCTCTTTCTGTGTAATTCCACAGCATTAGAATCAGGCCAGTTCTAAAGCCCACAAATTTTTTTGGGCATGATGCAAGTACATATCCAGGACTGTTTCAAGTTTATGTATAACTTTCAAGCAGTCATCAGGAAAAGAAAACCCACAGATTTTTGTGGGAATAAATAAATAAATATAAATGCTGCAGTGTTGAAGATCGCAGCCAAAAGGAGAGAAGTGAGATTTCCTTAGGCAAGTAATAAATATAGAGTACCTGGAACACAATTAGAATAAATTGTAATTGCAAATTGCTACATTTTGCATTGAAATGTGTCATTTCCTAAATCTTCTGAAATTTCTACACTGTGTTCCTAGTATTTCTATTCTATTTTTAAACTTTTTTTACTCTGTATTTTTGTACAATTTGAGAATATCTTAGAATGTTTGCCCCACTTGCATTCGTAAATGATTATTAAAAGGTCTGAACTTTTCCAAGAAAAATTAAGATATAGGGAAGTGTAAAAATTTACCAACTTCTGGTTATCAAAGTAAACACAGATATCATTACACAGATTGGTGTGTTCAAATGAAGCAAAGAAAATAAGATTAGGCACTTCCATATGAAGAGGACCAGTGAGCAGGACCCCAGTCGTGGCTCTACCCAATCAAAAATTAGGCCACAGCAATTTGCACAGGGACTGTTGATCACTCAAAATGCACATAACATGGACATTTCTGGACAAATATTCTCCAAAAGAGTGAAGAAAAACACTGCAGTCATAAGTTTTTTTCTCCCAAAGTGAGTTTTCCCAATATTGCTCCACAGCCATGTGCTAAGAAAACTCTGCTCATCATTCATTATCTTACACCTGCCTACATGCTACCCCTGGGGAAAAAAGTATCTTGCTGAGATAGACTTTATCTGATAATTACTATTCTATTTTCTGCTCATTTTTCTCAACTTTCAAAAAATATCTTATAAAGGAAAATAATAAAGAGGTGCCCAGATGACAGCTGAGAAGCCATTTGATTCTCAAATCAAGATGACCAGTAGTACCTACAGACATACTGGGCACATCTGATGTGAAAGGAAAGAAAACAAATACTGGCAGAAGCAACAGAAGTGCAGGATGGCAATGGAAAGTAAGAAGTAGTCACATCAGGGGGTTGATGAGACACCTTCTTGTCCCTCATGTAGAAAACTGCCCCCTATAGACAATGAAACAGTGGTGAAGAGAGACCTGTGAAAACTGCAGGAAAAAGAATTGAGCTTGAGTCCAGAGCAGGATTAGCAGAAAGATGTTCTGAGTGAATGTCCTGAGAGGAGAAAGGAAAAGCATCAATAGCCATTTTTCTGCACTCTGCTCTGACTGATCACCTGGGCTGAGCTTGGGCAAGTTTTATCTGTCCACTGAAGATCTATAAATTAATCTGCTGGCAGCACCACCAGCATCATTTGGAAAGCATCATCTGTCCAAAAGGGAAGAATAAGGTCAACTGCTGTCTAAAATTTTTGACTGGTATTCAAGTGATGAGGACAATGTCATCCCCACATGGCCCAGAGTTCCCCAAGCCCCTTAGCACTCTAACTTCCTGTCTAAGGCTTCTCTGATGAATTGGCTTCTCTTGCTATACTTCCAAAATATTTTCTTGCTTTTCCTGCAAAAAAAATTCCAAGAACTTCTCTTCTCACATCACTTTTCCCTTCTCTTTCGCAGCTAAGAGGGCTTTTTTGATAAATATCAAAATAGTTGAGGAGAATTCAGCCAAATACATTAGACTTGCATTTGCTTTAGTAGTTTCTCTGTGCTTACTGATTCGAATCAGGATCTTTATTTAAAGAGAAAGATTGAAAAGAAAAAATATTAAAAAGCAACTTTTGCTCAGTGTTAATCAGTTTAGTTTTATTTTTTATTAAAACTTACAAGAATTTCAGGGGTTTTTTACTAATCAATACTTTGCTCTTCCTATGGATGTGGAATTTGTATAATACTCTATTTTTACAACTATTTGTTTCAGATTCTACTACTAATAATTAACTAATTGCTACTAATCTACTAATAACAATAATAATAGATTTCTACTAATAACAAATGGGTCCCTGAC